CCCCCCCCTCCCCTTCACGTAAACGGCTCTAACTTGCCTCCATAACCACTTGAAAATTCAGCCAGTTAGCCGTGTTTAATATCGAGGATACATTTATCTTGCCAGACGATTCCCTAGAGGGATGGTGAAAACTTTTCCCTCCCCCTCGGACTGGATAACTTGCCGTAAGAGGTTCCCACTCGCCGGAAGGATCGCTTCGAGTGGTCGTGACAACTGGGTCAACCTGGATATACACGTAATTAAAGAGATTCCTTGGGCAAACGAACGATCGCATAGCAGAAGGAGGGAGGAGGGCGCCCGCTGTCCCTGTAATCAACGATTCCAGACCTGGCTCCCTCGGCCGGGATCGCGTTTCACTGCGAATAGAAACTGCAATCGATGAATCTTCTGCGGGTCCGGGTGTCCTTAATCTGCATCGAGAGCTCGTTGAATGGACTCGTTGAATTGTCACTTTGGGAGAGCTCAATCATTTGATCAGGCCAACGGGCTGGCGTTTGGCGAGGATTGGTTTTTCTTAGCCGAGTTTGTGAAAGGGACTGGCTGGGACGGAACGGGTGTCCAACGAGATTGATTAGCATCTCTTGAGGTGGTCTGATCGAGAGAATTGAAAAGAATTTCAGGTCAGGATCTGATTCTAAGAGATTTCTAAAAAGTGAAAGAGAAGTCAAAAGCCACCACATTTGGATCCCACCTCGAAGATTCAGCTTAGTTGGAGTTTGGAACTTGGGAACGTAAATCTTCATCGCAGACATCAAAATCTGGCTGATTTAAAGATCAATATCTAAAGAACAGTGTGACTATGAAGAATCTGAGTCTAGAAACTTATTCCCAAATCTAGGAATTTCAACCTTTGTCACTTGGCACAGGTCGACATCAGAATCTAAGGACCAATGGCTGAGGTCTAACTTTAGAAAGCCAAATTTAAAAGTCTGAACCTTCATTACCTCGATACAAACACAAACAAACAAACATGGTACAAAACTCGACGAAATCAAGGAACTGTTGTCCAAAAAAACAATTTAAGCTCCTATTCACAATATCTTGTTCAGAGAATTCTGTCACCAATTCTTCCCTTTACAGAGTGCAATTGTCAATATTAAAAGATGAAAGATAGGAACCGGGATTAAAAGTTTCCTCGCTCTGGCCAAGAAATGAAAGGCTCTTCGCAGCGTTTCTTTAACTGTATTAAATCTTCGACCTGTTTCACAACTGCTTCGTGAATTGAAGCACGATACACTGGCTAATAAACGTACCGTCGAGTGTGCCCCTAAGACGATTACCAAAAGCCAGCCGCGCACTCGTGCGCCTTCATTTCACGAGTGAAAACAGGCTTTATCAATTCGTCCTTGTGTCGTTGCCTTGTGTATTGCCACAAGTGCACTCCTCTTGCCGGAAGAGATTTCATCCCTTGAGAGGTTGCATCCTTTGAACGTGCTCCGCTGACCAGAAAAACGGCCAAGCTACTAAATCTCGAGCACCCTTGCGTCCTCCCGATAGCAACGCTGTATTTACTACCGACTATTTTAGCCTCCATTTCTGTCTTCTCGCTTCTTCTTTCATATTTCAGAAGTCTCCCTATTAAGTTCTATGAAAGATCTTCAATATCTTCAGCGAGTTTTTTTCTTTTCTGTGAATGGAATTAATTATATATCTGAGGATGATCTAGGTGGCCTAGTGACCATCTAGGGATAAGATAGAGGGTCACTGGACTGTGGCAGTTCTTGGTCTGGTTTGACGATGAACAATGTCTTTGCAATGAGTGACTCTTTTCGTTGAATTTAGATGTCAGTTTGAGAATCTGAAACCGGTTTGGGTGTCTAGGATCAATTGAGGGATCTGCGGTTAATTTGGGAATTTGAGAGCAATCTAAGTGTCGATTTAGGAATCTAGAATTAATTTCGATTAGATTAGGTGCCTAGGATCAGTCGAGAAGTCTACGTCTAATTGAGATGTTAATTTAGGGATTTGGGGTCAATTTAGATATCAATTTGGAAATCTAAGTCTAATTTAGATGTCAAGTTAAGAATCCAGGATCAGTTGAGAAGCTTGCGAATTTGAAACCAGTTTAAATCAATCAACTTGGAGATCTAGGGCGCAATTTAAAAAATATAATCTAATATCTAAATATCAACTTACGAAATTATGATAATAATTCTTGTGATTAATTTAACTAACTTGAATAATTTAAGTTTGAAATTTTATATTAATATTTTATTTATTTGTACATTTATTTTAACAAAGTACTTATTTAAAGACTTTCAGGTCCACAATGCTCGAAGAAGAAAGTTACGATTAATTCTTTTATCACAAATCCACGTATCTTACATATAAAATATTTACCAATATCCTTGCAAACGAAGATCAATAGCAATTCGAAAATATAAAATATTCGATCCGTCAGAGTTTGATAGTAAAGAATTTCACATAATAGTCGCACAGACTATTTTTCTCTTGTTATTTCAAAGTCTGTCAACTTCCACCCCGAAAATGTCCCTAGACCAGTAACTAACCTAGTTGCAGAGCGACGTTGATTATTCCGGGACGTTCTGATTGCAGAATATCGGTGATATTCCGGGTGAAGTCGGCGAAAGCGGTGAAGATAACCGATGGAAGTCTACTGAAGCGGTTGGGCATCATCGTCATGATATTCAGCGTGTTCCTGAGCATTCGTACGCTGGTTGCACCGCCTGTGGTTATAGTGGCACGAACGGCGGACGACCTGAAGGCTTATCTCTGCCTGACTGACTGGTGGGATCACAGTTTCACCACACGTGAGTGCTTTAACTCTCCACCAATCACCTGATGCATGGTCTCTCTTCCGTTAACCCTCTCGTCTCTCGTCTCGCTCGACGATAGAGACGAGCTTGTTACTTGTAGAACATTGTCAGTTACACGACCGTCTGATAGTACTGATTTGAATTAATGCGTTGTCGGATTCGAAGGTTTCAAACAGA